TCCGTCGCTTTAACAGGCTGCGGGGTGCAGCAGATGAACGCGGTGCTCTTGTGCCTGCGGTAGGCGTTCCCGTCGCGTTGTTTTCAGTAACTTCTGTAAGCGAGGCTCTTCTAGCAGAGGTTTCCATGACTGCTGCGCGCAGCTCTTCAGTGAGCCCGTCGGCACGCAGCGCCAAGACCGAAACCAGTTCAGATGCGTTAAACGTCGAGTCTGCAAAACAGATGGAGACTCGCGGTTGACGTGGTGGTTGGTCGTAATTCTTTCTTTACTGCTTTCAGGTACTTAACAGCAACAGAAAATGAACGTTTTCCCATCATGTCTCTCCATGCGGTAGCTGTAGCCAGCTACAGCGGGACGGAAGCCTTCAAGCACCCCTGCCCTGCACAGGTAAGGCAAAGGGAAGCATCCGAGCGCCGGCTCAGCCTTGGCGTTGGCGGGTGGGACTGGCTTAAAAAAAAAAAACATCCCAGTTCTTAGTTGTCAGTGGTTGTGGTAAAGGCTTTATTTTTAAATGCTGGCGCTTTTTTTATAGAGTTAACTTTGGAAATGCATTCCCCACATTATGTGGAGGGGAGGAGGCTGACGCAGACTGGGAAAGACGTCAAGCTGTCAGTGGTTTTTGTTGGTTATGGCAGCGTGTTGCGGTCCTCCACGACCTCTGTCGTCGTTATGTCTCCTCATCTGTGCTCTTTACCCCCCTTTTGTTTTGTTGGAGTTTGAGAGTTAAATACTGAATGAGGTCTTTTCCCACCTGTGCTACCATTGAAATTGTGACATCTTAAAATGGAAATCTCTTATCCGAATTCTTAAAACACCCGTCTCTTAAAATGGGAGAGATGGGAGGGCTGTGCTAGCGTTCATGCTGGTGTCAGGCAGTTAAACTGCTCGAATCATGAGAAGTAGAGTCAGTTAATTGCTGATACGAAACTTTTTTTTGTTTTTAAATCAATGTAGAAATGAGTTCCTAAAAGAACTATCTTAAAATGGAAATCTCTTATCCGAATTCTTAAAACACCCGTCTCTTAAAATGGGAGAGATGGGAGGGCTGTGCTAGCGTTCATGCTGGTGTCAGGCAGTTAAACTGCTCGAATCATGAGAAGTAGAGTCAGTTAATTGCTGATACGAAACTTTTTTTTGTTTTTAAATCAATGTAGAAATGAGTTCCTAAAAGAACTAATTGATCCAGTAATATTGACAATACGATAGTTACACATAAAAAGTCTGCCCACACAACGGTTTCTTTAAATCGGTGCAGAGGGAATAAAAAGACTACCAGATAAGAGTGTTTTTCTAAGCACTAGCATAATCAAGCACTAAATATTTGAAACTCAGCATGCTATTTCTGGTCTGAAATGTTATTCTTCAGTTAAAAGGGAAATTCTTTGTGGGTTTTAATTTCTTCTGCTTTCCGTGAGTCTGAAGGGTATCTGGAGTGGATCTGCTCTGAGTCACCTTGCTCTCCCATGGGACCATGTGGGGAACGTAAGGGTCAGCAGAGATGGCAGAGGACAGTACACCTTCAAACTCCCTTCCGTCACTTCGATCCCTGGGATCACAGGGTGCAGGGGAGGGCGAGAGGCATCCTGGGGATGCTTCCATATGGCAACATCTCGCTGATGTCTGTGAGTGGGGAGAAGGCACGAGGTACATCTTGGTTAAGTGCCTTTCAATGACGTGCCTGTCGGAGCATGGCAGCCCTTTGATTTCCCTGGTTTCTGTGATACGCTCTTACTTGAGGCAGTGGAGAGGGAGATGAATTTGTGAACTTGGACAGGAGACCTGTTGCTCTGCTGTCCTGAGTGTCTTACTCCCTTGCTGGAATTGGCCCCTCCGTATCTGTGCTAAACAGCTTGCCCTGGTTCATCTTCTGTGAGTTTGACAATATGGTAAATCCAACTTTGGAGTTCAAAATACCAAATCAGAGACATTATGACTGCATAAAGGGAAATGCTGATCTTATCAACCTGCTCAGTCAGTTCAAATGCACTGAAAATTTTTGTTAGCTTATACTGGCAGGCTCTATGCCAGGTCAGGTGTGTCACCTCTCGCTTTATGCTGGGCCATGCCTGTTGCTGACGTTAGAGCTATGTTCTATCAAATTAGGCAGATGCGATTATGTGACTGTGCTTGCTCCCCATCAATACAGCTGGGAGATCAGCAGCACGTGGAGTCAGGGCCTCATAGCTTTACCAAATACAGCTTGTATACATCTAAACACACCTGTGCTTCCAGCTACAGATTGGTTGTTCCTTGAATTCTTTTCCACTTCATTGCTGCTGTTTTGACAGATATATAGCTATCTGTTTCAACAATTTGTCTCTTAGATCCCTTATGCATGTTTAATTCTTTTACCATGGAGAGTTTCTTTTAGTCATCTGCCTTCTGGAGTGAAATATAAGATGCAGAGCTGAGATGCCTGTGCTCTTCAGACGGGAGATTTTCAGACAACCAGAAATGTAGGCAGTGGTTTGGTGACTGTCAGCG